CTTTTGATAGTCGTTGATGGATACAACCTGGAATGGAGCGAGGCGAATGATCGGGGACCGCCGAAAACCCTCACTGCGGCGTGGCTCCAGCTCCGGTGAACATGAGAACGAACCTGGCGAGTCAGCCACCAGCCCCAGCTGCTTCCTACGGCCCGCGCGTGATCCGGGGTCATGGCGGCGCCTCCACCGACGCCAACCCCACCCAGCCCGACCCGACGCGAACACAGGCTCGGCACCACACGGCGGGCGGGTCACGTGGCCCGCACCGTTCTGAACGCTATCCTTTCAGCCCGGCCACCGTTAACCATCCCCACACGGTCGGCCGAGGCCGGCTGAGACCGTACTTGGCCGCCTCTGAGAATCGTCGCCGGCTGGGGCCCAGAGGCCGGCGGCGCCACGCCGAGCTCAGCTTGCAGGAGCCAAGGAAAGGCCACCGCGGGATGCTCGCATGTCGGCCGCCCACGAGGACAACTTCATCAACACCACATTCTGCACCTTCTGGCCATTTGTGTGTACTTGGCGGTAACATTCCAGACAAACCAAGTAAACCTTTCCGGCGTCCCTGCAAGTGACTTAATGAATCACACCGCCGCACGGCTGCAGTAAACTATTTCCGAACTATCACCGACTTTTAGATTGAACACCGTCACAGGCTTAACAGCCTACACAGCCCACAAAAATAGAGCTGGACTGGTTCGAACGTTCCAAAGATCTCATTATACCTTGAGCGACTTAGGACGCTTGACAGCGAGGTAGCCATAGCTTTCTGCCCACTGATCTGCCGCCACGAAAACATCGCCAGAAAGCACACGCTGCAAATCCTCTGACTCCGTATCATTGCGCACCACACAAAGTCCCCTGTCGCTGAGCCTTGTTCGAGGCGTGCCGTATCAGTCGAGCCCAGCGCGCTGACTTCCCGGACGTCCCGCCGCCACGTGTTCGCTTCGGGCGAGCAGTCACGGCTGTCCGCCTCTGGGTGAAGCGATAACGAAGTGGCCGGCCCGGCGGTGGGCCGCCCACGTGCCGGGGCCCGAGCAGCCGCCAGGCGGCCGGCCCCACCGGCCCGCCCGCCCGCCCGGGGGAGGCGGACCGTCGCGCACGTACACCGCTGAGGCCCGGCCCGCTCCGGACGGCAGGGTCCAGGCCCAGCCAGCACAGAGCCAGCCTCAGCAGACGTCACGCTCGTCAAAGGGCAGCGTCTTTAAATCCCACTACCTGCGGTGAACTGCACCACGGTCGCCATCCCTGGATGCTGGCACGATGGAAGGCGCCCCGCCCCCTGTCTGGGCAGCACGAGGTCAGCGCCGCAGCACGCGCCGCGGCCGGTAGCGACTGGTCTTCAACTCACGTTCAGCCAGAACTCGGCCACCTCGGGCAGATTGAGACTCTCGCAGATGTACACCAGGTTCAGGATTGTCCTTCTGGAAGCAGCTGCCGCCGAAGCCTGCAGGACGGAGCGAGCCGTCAGCACACGCGAAGCAAACAATGCGACCGAATCCGTCATTGCTGGAAGGTGCCAACACTCGCAGCGGTTCCGACGCTGGTTTACAACACGGAGCGCGTCACGCTTTCCAGACGCCACCGGTCTCGTGCCTGCTGTGAGGACGAGAGGACTCGGGTGAGGACACACTGCCCAACATCATGACAGAAACTCGCCTTTCGTGGGGATGGACACAGGGGAAATCCTACGAACGTATTGAACACTGTGAGGATGCCCCGAAGGGAATCACGCGAGCTACAACCTTAGCTTTCATAATTTACCGCAGCTTTATTCACGCACACGCACACGCACACGCACACATACAAGCAAACGAACACGCACACGCACACACGGCGCTGTGACGGCATGCGTCGCTGCGAGCGAGATCAGTCCCAACCGAGGCCGGGACGTTTCAAGTCGCGTCGCCACATCTGAAGCCAGAGGCTGATGTCGCTCCGCCGTCGGCCGTAGTCGACCCCGCCGCCCGCCACTGCGTCAATTAACGGCTCAGCATCAGGCGACGATCAATGGCGGCCGGTGCACCGGGGCGCGCGGGGGCGCCGCCCCCGCCGCGCCGGCCGGCCAGGGTGCCGCAGCTGGCGGCCGCGCCGATCAGCCGGGAGGGCGCAGGGTCAGACCCGACGCCGCGTCCGCTTGGTGTCGGGCCTCTTCAAGTCAGAGACGGGCCGGCCAAGGGAGCGGCACCAGGGGCCCACCAGGTCAGGTCAGGTCGGGTCACAGACGCGAGCAAGTCCCGGACTGGTTAAGCGCTGGAGGCGTCTCACAGGCGGGAGTGACTGGATGACCACGCGGTCATGGACGGGGATAGGGCGGCGTGATGACCCAGATTAGACAAGAACCAAAGAACCGAACACCACGATTAAGTTCCGAGATCTCTTTTCAGAACCTGGGCCTCACACTAGCAGCCAACTGCAGTTTAGCCATGGAACAATTGCCCTGGTTCTGATGAGGAAAAGGATATACGACTAGAATTTCAGGTGGGCTGGGTGACTGAGCCTTCTGGGGCATAACATGCATTACATACAAATCACAGCAGGCCGGTCGACAGACAAACACGACGAGCTGCTGGCTCTGAATAAAATCAACACCTGAAAGTGAAACAAGCCTGTGGAGTTTCGAATCCGACCAAACTTCAGTCGGGGATGATCACGACAAGCACCCAGCATCAAGCACATTCGAGGAAGCGGAGCATGGCGCCGCACTCAACATATTCACGACACGCTGGCTGCCATGCGACACCATTCCCGTCACTCCACCGACACCATCAGCCAGGAGCGGCGCTGAGTCTCTCACCGACGGAGGCCTGCAGGAAGTGGGGTCCGATGCGGCCGTCCTGGCCGACGGCACGCGCCACCTCGCTCACATCGGCACCGGTCGCCTCGCAAACGGCCGACACGGCGTTGATGGCCGAGATCCGCTGAGCCAGGAAGGCGTTGGCCACCTGCCGACGGCGAGGGCACGACGTTAGGCGGCAGCCCAGCCGTGGTCAGCGGTGTGGCGTAGTGTAGTGTAGTCACGGCAGCCCAGCCACAGCCGCCATCATACGTCAGACAGTGCGCCACGACGTTGGGGCGGCGTCCCCACGTGGAGGCCGCAGCCAGTCATGCGCCGAGCCCAGTCAGTCAGCATCTTCAACAGTCAGGTTTGCCCCGAAGCAGCCGGCAGGGACGCCGCTGGAAGTTCTTTCCGGTGCACTGAACTGGCTCTTGGGCACAGAGCTTCCATAGCATTAACAATAGACTGTGTTGTACTTCCGGATTGCCTCCTACGTGCATGCGCAACTTCAGGACCAAGAATAACCATCTGATACCGTGTCACAGCCGGCGGAGCCCACTGGCCATACGACCGGTGTACTCTGCTGACGTGAATG